TAGAGGTCCTGAGACCAAAAGGCTTTAGCACCACTGAAGGTGTAAGAAGTAGTGATCACACAAACACCCACACACACCCAACCTCTTTCTATCTCTGCCCTGTAAGATTATTATAGCTATTTATATCACAGAAATTTCTAACAATTTAAACCCTGTATTGCCCAGTAAAGAAGTCTTATGAGGATAAAATTGGACAGGAAATTAGAGGCAAAGAAAAAAATAAATAAAGGCAAAGAAATTAAATGCTTCCTTTTTAGTTAGGAGGTTGCCATTCTGATTTTAAGGCAAAATTCTAGTAAATTAAATAGAAGATGTTTCAAAATTAACTTGCATGTTTAGGATATAAGTAGCAATTTATTGCTTTCATATTCTTCCCATAGTTACCTGGAAACACTGACACACTAAACTATCCTGTATAGTTACCTGGAAACACAGACAAACTAAACTATCCTGTATAAAAATTACGTTTTCACCAGGCATGGTGGCACACACCTGTAATCCCAGCACTCAGAAGGCTGAGGCAGGAAGATTACCAAGAGTTCAAGGTCAACCTGGGCTATACAGTGAGTTTATGGCCAGCCTGAACTGCATAGCAAGACCTTGAAGAAAAAGAGAGAACCAGATTCTCAGCTTAATGAGTTTATTTTCAATGAAAAATTTAAATTTCATACTGTTTTCATCCTTAAACTGTTCTATCAAAACTGATGGCTATGCAAAAAAAAAAAACCTTGCATATTAAAAAGAATATACAGGGGACAGGGAGATGGCTCAGTGGAATAAGTACTTCCCTGGCAAGCGCAAGGGCCTGAGTTCAATCCCCAGTTCCACCAAAAAAAAGAGAAAAAGGATATAAGGCTTAGTATGGCTAAAACAGAATGTCGAAATTGTAAGACTTCTCACAATTTTAGTAACTTATAATTTTAAATTCAATAATCTCAAGGACAACTTCCCAAGCACTAATCTAAAGGGAAAAAAAAATCCCGTTAGACCTTTTACTCTTCTAGATACACCACTCAAACTGAAAAACAATTCAGTTTAATGAGAGGAAAGGTTACATAAATTAACTTTAATTTGTTTAATATTGCAAATTCTTTGTCATCAAAATATTCTTCTAACTCAGTGCACCAAACTGCAAATGGCCACTTAACTGAACTATTAAGGCAGCTCTGGGTTGTCCAGCCTCTAGGTTGGTACCTATTATCCAAATGACTTCACGTTTCGGTTATGTTTAGCATTTCATCATCCTATACTACACACTTAGAAGAAAAATACCCACTGCTTCAATGCTATTTTCCCCAAGAATAATTTACTGCTCTTCTGCTTACTCGTCACTACAAGTAGAAGTGGTCCAAGAGTGAGGTCATACAGAACAGCTTGCCTAGCCTTCAGAGACTGCATCCAGGAAGAACTCTAGGAAAGCCTCTACTGGGGAATCAAACCCCAAATCTTAATTCAAAATCTTGTAGAGTTAGCACTTTAGTTCTCCCAAGAACTGTACCACTACATTCAATTTTTCACAGGTCTTAGGGTTATGATACAGATTTTCTTCAAGTCTTCAGATTCCAGGATGCAAAATCAACTAAAAGATCTTATCAAGGACAAAGGAGAATATAATATTTATTCAATAATTCAATCAAAGGAGTTTTAAAGATCTTAGAAAACTGGGGCTGGGGCGATAGCTCAGTAGAATAAGTGCTTCCCTAACAAATGCAAGGGCCTGAGTTCAATCCCAGGTTCTGCCAAAAATAAAAATTAAAATTACAAAAAAAAACCTTAAGGGGCCGGGGAGATGGCTCAGTAGAATAAGCGCTTCCCTGGCAAGTGCAAGGGCCTGAGTTCAATCCCCGGTTCCACAAAAAA